ATAATAACAGAGTTGGGAACGTTACCTTAAAAAAAAATAATGCGATACCATTACAGTTACTTGAACGAATCGTTACTTTAAGCATTGGAACTTCATTTTGGAAAATAATAAAATGTATATAAATGTAGTATAATTTATAATTAGAAAGACTCGATGAAATTTGCATGAACAGGAATCATTCAGTCACTAGTGACACGACCTTGTAGTATAATGGCTAAATTAAATATTATAATTACAAATAACGCATTACTTTCCAACTCTGTATAATACACATACCTGAACTAATTGTAATCACAAACTCTAATTGTTACGCGTGCATAAAATATTCCTAAGAATGGGCATATTCAGGAATGCAAAACGGAGGTTTATAGGGAATTCAATTCCCCCCTTCCCGAAATATTTTATTTATTTTTATTTATGAAGAAGTACAATTTTCTTTTTTGAGTAATTTTTTTATTGTCATATAAAATAATTTTTTCTCTTATGACTATATGAATAATTTCTCGAATTTCCTTTCGAAATTGTTCTTTGACAATTGATGCATTGTCCAATATACTCGTATAAAGAAAATTTTGGCAAGCCGGAAAATTTTTCTGAGCTGGAAAACAAGATATGCGCCGAGATATTAATGAATACTCCATCCATAATACTACATATTTCGTTTTTAATAACTATATTACTTTGTGTAATAACTATAACTTTTGTCTATATTTTTTTTTTCAGGAAAAAAAGTTATTTACAAACCCAATATTTTCTTTCAAAATTAGGAACAGGAAGAAGATATTCCAAACTCTAAAATATATAGAGAAAAAGCAATTCATTAACGCGAAAAATTGCTATATAACACAGAATAAGTTGATAAAAATTATTTTCCCGAAAAAATCCTGTATATGTATATACGCCCATGCTTCCTATATAGGCATTATCACGATATTGACGCTTTCTTTGTGTGGCGCATAGTAAAGTCTCTCAATTTAATTCAATTTAATTTAATTTTTTAGGTTTCTTCCTTCTCGAAAATATGCCGAAGTCTCATTAAGAGAAATACCACCATCGCTCGACATTACGCTGGAAAAAACCTGCAAGTGATCCCGATCGCAGTTTTGATTATTTATGTCAGTGATAGATGCAAGCTAGTACGCTCCGAGAAATTTTCCGTAAGTGAATGATATCTTGATTCTAGATTCTAGAAGAATCTCCATATCAGTCATACATGTATATCACCAACGATATTTCCAACGAACTTCCAAGTCATCTGACAGGTCACGACAACAGACGAAGCAAAGGGGTGCGTGCAGTAAGTCTCTTATTGATTAATAGACGCATGCGCCAACTATCCTACCACACATGGCACACATGCTAGATCGCGGTTGTTTTCGATTTCTCATTGTCTGCAGTATTGTTCCCAACTCCCAACGTCTGTTGTGCGAGGTATCGGTTTTTCTCTTAGTGACTTCTCTTATATAAAATATTTTTAACCAGCAAAAGGACATCAAGAAAAACTGCGAGACACGTGATGATCGTATTCTGGGACGGAGTAATTATCGTCATTATTAAATTCCGCTCAACATTGGAAAAGAACGTAGAATTTTAGCTGCGTGATTGCTATTTTTATAATAAAATAAAATTTGTCAATGTTGTTAGGCCCATGATCTCTAAGTTGACAAATGAAAGATATTGAGAAGAGCAATATATGTAAATGTAATACTTGATTATAAACGTACGCTAGGCGCAATCCAGTGCGATCGAAATCTGCATCTCCGTGGACGTTGAAGATCAAGTTACGTCCCTGTGTTGATCGGGGTTGCTCGCTCGGGGATGACGGGGATGGGGACATTGAGGCCGCGTGTCGTATCCTTCGTGTAGATATAGGATGGCCGCGCCTTCATTACACGTGGAGCGAGCATTGTTGCGACTCGCGACGAATACCGAGTCTATTTCAATCCGATCACACAACGTTCAACAAGTACGAGTATATATCTAATACATCTCGTTGTATTCCAACCAGTGCAGATTTAATTTTCATGACTCATCACGGTCGTTACAAACAAATAACATTTCCTCGTGTAACATCATCGCGAGCAGTATCTACCTTCGAACGATGGACCAGATGTACCAGATGGATCAGATGGACCACCATCAACACCATCAGGAGCGTGATCGACATACGCGATTGATTACTACATGAAAGATTACTACGTGACAAATTAAAAAGTGCTACAACAAGAAAGTTTCATCGTATCCAGAAGATCCAATATTTCTTTGCACCAGAGCAAGAGATTTATGACAGACACCGCGCGATAGACCATTATGTGGATTCTAATTAACTACTAAATATCTGTCTAAATATTCTAAATAAGGAGCGATCACAAACGGTTGTCGTATCAAAGGATAACTCTTATTCTTTTCGTACATTTTGGCCCATTGCACAATGTTTGGCACTCAAAACTGACTAATCTAAAACTAAATAATCACAATTCACTGTGAATTTTTACATACTAGATCACGTACGATCATCTACAGAGTCTTACATTTATACAATACAAATGCATTAAACGTTTCACATAATTTCACTGACATTTGAAGATTATGAAGTCATAGTGCAAATGTGACACTACAATTAATATGGTTAATTGTTAGGGGGTTAATTCAAGGGAAGTCGATGGAGCACAAGAGTTTGGATAGATTTGGCCGATTGAAGGTAAATCTACTTGGAAGAATTTTGAGAAATCTCGATTGTTGCTTGATTGACTAATCGTTAAGCAGCAGCAAAACGGGTGGCATGCCGAAGCACAGCCGCGCCTCGCTTTTAATAATAGATAAAAATCGTAGGCATTCGTGCCGAAAAAAGAATAGAAACCGAGAATATCCCCACAGAGAAAAGAGAGGCAAGGAAAAAGAGAGAGAAAGAGAGAGAGAGAGACAAAGAGAAACAAAGAAAAAAACGAGTATTAACGAATAGCTTTCAGTTTAGCTGATGCTAACGAAAAAAAATGCAAGTCAGATATCCGGATGCAGATTATTATCAGTCGTCACTATTGTGTCTCTCAGTTTATTTGATCGAATTTTAATTAACTGGACGATATCATCCAGTCATGAAAAATAATAGAGAGACTGTTCATACACATGACTACAAGAATATCGAAATAAAATATCTCTATTATCACTGTATTAACGAAGAAAGATGATTGATCGTTTCTCTCTCTTTCTCTCTCTCTCTCTCTCTCTCTCTCTCTCTCTCTCTCTCTCTTTGTATCATAAGTGGATGATCGCACAGATCATCGAACGGAAATATCTTGAAACATCCATAGTTTCCAACGACTTTCATTGGAAATGTTATTAATTGTTCTACGAATTAAATTACGCAGCTTTTTCTTTAACTGCATATGGGTTCGCGATTCGCGTGTCGCACAATCTCGTCCGAGTGCCAAATAATTAGTAATATAGATAAGTATCATGTGTACAATGATTTTCTCTTCTTCATTAATGAGAAAGATCATCATTATTATTAGATTCACTTTCGAATCGAAACTGTAAAGACACCGAACGATGCAATGAGAGGGCGAGATATACTATATGTATTTAGATATATTTATTCGTTGGAAATGACGTTGCCATCGATGCAGAGAAGCTTGTTGGGCTTAACAGTGCTGACGATCGTCGGCCTAATGACTTTCCTGCTCAGCAAGAAGCTCGCACTGGAGACGCGCAAGCGAGATGGCCTGCTCCTCGACGTGATCGCTAACATTAGCGGTCACTTGGATCGACTTGATAGCGGCTTTGATGGCATCGCCGCGCAGACGGGAATTGCGCGGAATCGCTTGCTACGACTGGTTGCGCTCCATCGAGAAAATCTTTTGGTATGTGCGTTACTCGGCGAGAAATGGAGACAAAAGCAAATGCTCAGCATCGGAAAACCGATGACGATGATGGCGAAGAAGAGAAAACGACGCCGACGGTTCATCGTATCGCATTATCATCGATAATCGATATCCAAGAGGTTTTTATCAGACGTGTAAAAAAATGAGAGATGTAATTAGATGTACGTACGTACATCTAATTGTATCGCCAAATTACCTATGTTATTTAATCTACTCAATGATTAGGAATGATTTTTTTTTTTCTATTATTTGCTCTACCGATACTTTAATTGTCAATTTTCCGAGTCTCATTATACAATACATTTTTATTTTTCTCGATATCAAGAAATATGTATACATTTCAATGTTTTTCTTTTTTTTCAAGAATTCAAGGAACGCGCTTGTGTGAATTATCAATATACATTCTGTCTCCCATTTAATTGAATAGCCAAGTTGCTCATTTACTGTCAACTATAATGCTGTCACTTATAATTGATTAATGATTAAAATAAAAATCCAATCGTATCGTACTATAGTCTGTAGTAGATAAGTAAGAAGGACGAATTAATAATTAATTCGTACTTGGTAAGACAATCATCCGTTCGCGTGAGCGAATCATATTCCTATTGCGAAAATACCCGTATAACGTGAAACATATCGTAACGTTAGATAATAGATTCTATTTTTAGAATAGATGATACGACGAGTCGATCAATCAACTTATATATGATAAACCAAATGTTCAAGGTAGGGGCCAATTAACAAATCCGTGATTGCATGTACACAAGAAAACTTATAACTAAGAAACGCAGTGAATGTTATTTCAGATTCCAAAATATTAAGATAAATTCGAAATATATATAAAACATGACTGTGATCGAATAATATCATTCGTCACGGAAACAATTATATTGTTGTTACAAATCTAAATGATTACATGTACATATACATATAGAAAAGCGAGGATTGTCGAGGATGAAATTGTCAGACTTGAATTTTGAATTTAAGCGGACTCGCTTACTTTCTGCGATATTATACAATAAATATTTATTTATATAAGTTTTCATTCTATAGAACGTTCTATTCTTACTATTAGCGTTTAGCGTGCTATCGTAGAATATTATCTGTCAAATGGAAAATACATACGTGTCAAAATTCGCATTATATAAGTATTAATTATTAACTTGTATATATACAGAATATATACAGATTGTTCCAGATTCGCGAACGAATGTTTTCGCCGATTTTTCTGCCGAGAAAGTTTCTTTTTATTGTAAAAGAACGTTAATGCGCACGTACAAAAATGCAGATCTTACCGAAAAGAAAATCTCATCGGAAAGAGATGAGGTTCACTTGAAAAACTTGTCGAAAAAACTGTTAAAGTTCTTAAAATATTTTTCACAAGCGTCTCGAGCGCTTTGTTGACGTACTTATAGTACATATCTATTATCTATATTTACAGTGGATCGATACCTAGACTTTAGTACGACACGCGCAAGTATAATCTGATATATGTATTTACGTGTTATCAAATTTAATCGGATCAGTCACGATTCGACGTACTCGCTTCATCACTTGCTGTACATATTTTTACTTAATGTTTACTTGCTACGTGTGCGTATGAACACGCACGTACGCGAGAGAGATGAATATTATTCTCTAGTTCGTAGAAATTGTGTAATTGTATTATGTAATTATTTTTATAACTCTCTCGAAAAAGTTATCTACCAATAAATCGTTTATGTGTCTTGTCTACTTTATACTATATATGTTTCTCTTTGTCCCATATATAATCGTATAATTGCTGAGCGATTGTCAATTATTCGCGAAAAGAGTCTAGACTACAAGTTGAAAACCTGCTAGTACGATCTCGCTCTCTCTCTCGTTCTCTCGCTCTCTCTCTCCCCCCCCCCACACACACACACACACACACACACACACACACAATTACGTTAAGAAATGATATAGTCTTTGATTAAGCTTTTTTTTTCATCGCGTTTGGACGTGTTTGTATAATATATATAGGAGATTGACTCTGATTTTTTTCAAGTTAGAAGCAATCATATATCTTTTTCACATAGAACAATTTGCACAAAACAATATTACTTATCATCAAGACGATCAATTTCAAAATCTCGTTAAAACTTATTAACTTATAAAAAATATTTATTCTGCAATATAGTATTATTCTAAAATATAGTTGTGGATATATATATATATATATATATGTATATTTTTTTTTTAATTGTAGATGTGCTTATATAACACACTGTTATACATACGTTATCTTTCTGGCTAATGATATTGTCTCTTATTAGCATAGTGGTGATAATGCTATTTTGTACCGTCTAAATATTGTAATATTGTTGATATTTATAATTACGTGTCGTTGCGCCACGAAACAGTGAGAGATATAATTTGTGCTACAACTTTGATAATTATTTTCTCGCTATCTTGCATGATTGCAACATTCTCAATCGACAGTTATTCGTATAATCAGTTTGTTACGACCCTCAATGTGATATTGGCTTTTTTTTATTAATGAATGATCCCGACATTCCTCCATTAACATCATTGATCATAAACTTCCAGAGTCATAAAATCGCTCAAAGAAACAAAGTGCGAGTTTCTCCCAACATGAAAGGTTCCCCCTCTTGTTTTCTCATTATAACTTCGTACTTGGACGATGGCTTCGTAATTCATCGTAACTCGTGCGAGTTCAGCGAGTCTCGACAAATATACGGAAGCACTCTCTTCGGTTTCTCTCTCGAACGACGTTACATTGGTTACACGAGATGGCGGAAAAAAAAGGTAGGTATTCGAGATTACGTTC